TCCGACTGCATCAACACCTAGATCCTGCATCCACAAAGGAAAATAACGGGGTGAGCACAAATAATACCCAGTAAGTAAAACCCTCTATCTGTCTGTCCCCGTATGTATAACGCTTAATTCTTTCCTTATAATATTGCTGATTCTATTTCTGTTTCTACTAACATCATGGCCTTATCTTACCGGAGGTACGGCCGGATGGCGTTCACGCAGCACCATCTCACTCTCCATGACTATCGGGTGGAATTCACACAGTACCAACCCGTTCTTAGTGACTACCGAATGGGGATCACAAAGCCCCTACTCGGTTTTCTTAACTATCGGGTGGAGACCACCTAGCACCAACCCGCTTCTCATGACTTTTTGGTAACAATCACCAAGCATTAACCCGTCTCTAGTCACTGTCGGGTGATGGTCACAAAGCATCAACCCACTTCTACTAAATGTCGGATGATGATCACAAAGCATCAACCTACTTATCTATTAACTAACCGGGTGGTGGTCACAAAGCATCCATCCGTGTCTAATACTTATCGGGTGACGATCACAAAGCATCGACCCATCTCTAAGGGCTATTCGGGTGGTGATCACAAAGCACTAATCCGATTCCCATAACTGTTGGGTGATGATCACAGAGCATCAACCCATCTCTACTACTCTTCTAATTCACTCTATTCTAGCATTTTCATTCTTTCTACCCTTAGAGTAATTACATCCACCAAGCTCTCTACTCATGGAGTGATTCCATACACAAAGTTTCCTACTCTTTCTTAGGTCACTTTTCAATGCACAACTAGTGCCTATGGATGGTTCATCTCCACTAATGCACTCATGAGATGCCAACATGCAATGTTGCAAGAATTAAGGTTCACTAATCATACTCAAACCTCTATTAGGCATTTCATCAAACAACTCAAGTGCACTATAAAACTCTACTATAGCAATGATTCTAAAACTTTTTCTCATCATCCAAAATGGGGAGAAACCCCTTCACATAACCATAAAACCTGTCAAATAAAACACTTCCAAAAAGGGATCCACAATACCCCTTCAATTCCATCTCAAACTACCTTTCCAACCCAACAACTCATTTCTCATATTTGCAAGGAATAAACAATCACAAGGCATAGAAATCTCTATTTAAGCCTTCATACATGGCATATCACATGTATATCACATACATACATCATTTCTATCAAAACCCTAATCAAGAAAATTCTTAAATCTCAACTTGGGTTGGGATTTACTTACCTTGTTATGGAGAGACTTCACCAACTCTTCCTTTCACTTGTTTTGCTTGACTTTTTCTCTACTCTTAACCAAAAGAACAAAAACCCTCAAACTTCAATATAAACTAAAACTCACAAATCACACAACTTAAGTAGGAATCCTTACCTTAGGAAGCCTTAGGTTGATTTTCACCCCAATCACTTCAAAAACCCCTTGGAACTCCTTGATCAAAAGAAAAGAGAAGTTGAGAGGAACAGAATAGAGAGTGCGTTTTTGAGAAGAAGATGAGGGGTTTGCTAACTCTTAATTCTTTAATGAAATTATACACAAAGCATTCCCATTTTGCCCTTACTCTCCTTTGGAATTCCATCATATCCTTTGATTCATTACAAACTCACCCCCATATCAACATATTCTCCATGAAAAATCCTTACAATTAACTCCCCACTTTTCCTGCTAATTAGGGTAGAATGGTCAAATAGCCCTTAGGGAAGAAAAATATCTAAAACTTAACAAACATTTAATCGGCCTGTCGCGCGGCGATGGAGGAACTTCTGTCGCCGCGGCGAAATGTCCAGCAGCTTCCCCGTGGCTTCAACACCTTTCGCCGCGACGAAGATTCTCTCGCCCGGCGAAGCTTGGCACACTGAATTTCTTCTATTTCCAACCAATTTCAGGGCAAACAATCAAAAACAATTTACCAAAAACCAACTCAAAAGAGAAAGGAAGAACAACAACACGACGTACCTCATGTGGGGGTTACAGCCGTGAGATAATTCTCCCGTAACCGGAAGTGATGATCCTCTGTGTCGATCCACCATAGTCTTGATACACTCTTCGATACAACCAATCACACCACATTGACAGCTCTGAATAGAACTGCGTTGGACTAGTGTCAAATTACACCAATCGGTGTAAAAAGGCGCTCCGGTGATCTCAGTCTAAGGATCACATGCACCACCATTCATTAGAGGATTTGTTTCATAGTACTAGGGTTACCATCCATATGGATCCTCTAGTAGGTCAGTCCAATGAACTTGCCTACAGCAAACACCCATATGTTGCACCAGGTTGTCCACCAAACAACATTGACATGTAAGATCAGTCAATGCCTTTCGACAGGGTCGTTCAACACTATGATAGCTTTACAGTATAAGTGTCCTTACTTCAGAACAATATGTGGCTAACAGACGTTTCTAGAATGCCACTATGTGCTTATAGGATTCTCACTATCAAGATTTGAAACACTTGATACTCTCGTCATGGTTCTACCATTTTAAGGACATATATCATACATACAACTATTGTTTATATGATATATAAATAATGTCTTTATTGATTAATAAACATTATTACAGAGAGTCAATTTCACATAATTGATTGGCTCTAAGGCACCTACTTCAACAGTTCTTACCAGTTTATGTGTTTAAAAAACTTCATGGTTCCACAAACATAAGAAATGTCCAGGACATGGAGTTGTGATCTGTGATCCTAATCAAAGCAAGTATCCTTACTTCTCTGACATGACAAGAATCTGTTGTCATAAGGAGGTTGATGCTTTGTTAATAGCCAATAGCCTGTGCCAGGATCTTGAGCATTTTACTAAGCAACTGTAACAATACAACAGACAGCTAATAAAATGAAATTAAAAATAAATCTAAGCAGATATGATAGAAATGGATACGAATTAAAACAGCTTTCAAGTTTCATGTAAGTTCATCCGAAAAGAGGATCATAATTGATACAAATAACAGCTAAAAAATTGGGAGAGTGAACAGAATTGGATTGGGTTTCTTCCAAGAAGGAGAGGAAATACTCACAGAATGGTAAATCTCCACCAATTTAAAGTCAAAGTCAAACCCAAACTAGGGAAACCGTGTAACACGAGAAAACTTCCTCTAAAGTTATTCATGTTTTTTTACTTGGCCATTGGAAAAATCACAGCCTAAAACAAAGAATAATTTTACCATTAATTAAACGATCCTCAGATCAGTTATTAATGACAGTATGTTAATTTCCATTATATATTTCAGCTAAACATGACAGTAGTTATTTTGCAGCTCTATGATACCTGCAATAATCAAGGAAACAAACATGTGTACTATGCACGAAACTCAGGCTTCGGTCGGGAATGAAAGTTAAGAAAGGTTCACTACAATCGATAGTAGAGAAGTATATTCAAAAAGCAAATGATCTCGTGATCAAGTTATGTGCAATTGTGCATCATAGATATAATGCTGCTTATACACCTTCAACTTATTGCCTACTCATTATCTGTTTATCACTAAGCACTACCACTACCTATAAAACTTCAAATCTCGAAGTAAAAGAGAAATTAATTTCAAAATTAAGCAAACAGCAGCTCACCTCTAGAAAATTTAAGGTTGGATTATTATTTTCGTGCATATACAAAATAGATAATTTCTGAAAGGTGATAGGAAGAAAAATCCAGTCTACACAGATTAAACACTCTTAATAACGATTCTTATAACATAAACAAAATTTTACATACATTATGTCACTATTTCTTTAGTGAAAGTTGTCTTAAGGAAGTTTCAAAGATTAATGGACAAGAAAATCTCGTCCACACCGTAACTTAAACTCTCAGCAGAAATTGCCCAATCATCATTAAAATTTCAAGCATAGAGTAGACAAGCTTTGTTGCAACTGTAGAAGACATGGCAAGTCCCTAAAGGTGTTCCAACAGACAATTCACTCAACTGATTTCCTAATCAACTTCTTTCAAGCAAAAAAAAAAAAAAAAAAATGAGAGACAGAGACAAAGAGAGAGATGTTTGCATGAGAGCTCAACAATCTTTGGCCACTTCTGTGACTCATAAGTTTCACTTTCATCTTTGATGGTCTTAGATCTTTTAACTTTGTTGGGAACATGTTTCCTCTTGCCCCACTGGCATCATCAGTCAGGGCGGGGGCGGGGCCAAGGGGTAGGCAGGTGAGGCATCTGCCTAGGACCCTCAAAGAAAATGCCCAAAAGAGGCTCAAAATTATTTTAAGATTTTTAAATAGATTACAAAAATACCATTATGCCTAAAAAAAGTTTATAATTTTTTTTTCCAAACTGGTCCAAAGGGCCCCAAAAGCCAAAGCCTCAAATTCATTATATTTTTTACTTAAATTTACCAAAAAAAAAAAAACCATGTTTCATATTTTCCATCTCACACCCAAATTAACTAAACTAGTTATTTAAATGTCTAAAATTCAAAACACCCATTCAATCCCTAAAATAATGAAAACATTGATATCCACCCCTCCACACCACTGTAGTGTCGCTGTCGTCGTTAAAGTGATGATTTGATCAATTTTTCTCAAAATCGATCGGATTCATCACTTAATCATTTCCCAAACATTTTCCAACCTTGACAACCCCTAATTTGGCCGTTTTTGCTAATTTTCGCAACCCATTTTCTTCACAGCGTGCGACAGCATTTCCAATACATCGCTGCGTTGACCTTCCCGAAACCACCATCTTCGTCCCCTCAACCCCCTCCCAAAACGCCTCACTTACCTGATCCTAGATGCCTGACGTCCACCTCTTGCCCTCACAAGAAGATTAAGAATTTGGTTATATTATCAATTGAAAAGATTTTTTCTAAACTTGAAATATAAAAATTTAATTAATGATTTTGCATCTCAAAAGGTAAGAAAAAATGAATTTGAAATAATTTTTTAATATATGCTTATATTATTAAAAATGCCTTAAAGTAACTCTTGTCTAGGATCACAAATGTTCTTGAGACGGACTTGTCATCATTGTCACTATATTCATCATCTTCATCGTCATCATCGTTGTGGTCATCATCTTCGTCTTAGTCGTCATCGTCGTCGCCACTATCTTCACTGCTACCTTCAGAGTCTGTTCCACTTCTGCTGGCAGCAAAAGGAATCATTGGCTGGTTACCGGCAATAGCTGATTCAGCAGCCATTACAGTTTCTGGTGTATGAAGATCAGCTACACCTAGCATTAGATCCTGTCACTAAGATGCACCCCGAAATCATGCTATAACTTGGCTGCCACATGTTGTAAGCCATAACAAAGTATGAAGAGAGACAGAAAGTGAGAAACCCTCAGTTACCATCTCAATAACTTCAGATTCATTTCCAGTGAGTACTTCAATATCATAATCTTGAGCTTTTTCCTACATTTAGTAAATTTAAGCACAGGTTAGTGATCGAGAGAGCTTGTTTGGATCTATTAATAAACTAGATATTTTAATATGATCAATATGCAAACCTTTGCATCAAGCTGGAGCCTTTTATTAGCTTCTGACATCATTCCCAAGAAATCCTTCACTTTTCCTAGAACTGCAAAAATAGCTAAGAATTTAGAACCAACTGCGATTAAAAAATAATTCCTTACTTCCAGTTCCTAATGTTTAACAAACAGGCCTTACATGTGGGAAACACCAACTCTACAATAAATATCAAGTATACATTTCCATACATGATTCACACGATTTACAGTAAGGAACCAAACATCTTAGAAACTTTACATCAATAATTAGCAAAATGAAAGAACTATGTGATATGGGTTTTTATAGTTCTTCAATTCACAAAAATAGAGCATTTCTTCTTCAGTAAAACTGCATTGCTAAAAAGAGAAATTTGCCACTTTATTAATAAAATTAAGAAAAACTGAAACAGACTTCAAGAGTGAGAGTACCTTGGCTTCGGAGAAGAGGATTAAACACAGGTTTTTCATCTGGGTTTGGTTTCTTCAACTAAGAATGGGACTACTTGTTGCAAACAAGAAGTGCAGATTCTGAAAACACAAACACAAACAGTGAAATTACAATTATAATACACATAAAGAGAAGAGAGAAAGAAAAGGCAAACATGTACCTATGGATGAGGAAGTGGAATTGTTGTCCTCTAACTGCAAAAGATCTTTACTTGTTTCTGCCATCTCTTCAGATTAAGGTAAGGGTTGTGCAAGGAACCAGAAACGCAGCAACTCAGAAGCAGTAAAACACTCTTTCCGAAAATAACCACTTATATCCTACATATACATTAATAACGAATTGTCTAAAAAGCATGCCTGATGTGATAGATAAGCTTTTGAAATTTGAACCCCAGTATTAAAGAATCCATTAATAATTTCAACCCTTTTGGATTTAGTTCAAATACAAAATAGATGAATTTAGCATAATAGTTTCATCAAAAATTGTCTTTCCATACTTTTGGGAAACTATAAGTAATGAATAGACAAATATGAACAATATACACCTAATTCATTCAAAGGATTCAAGAATATTAAAATTTTCTTCTAATCATCATCAACATTCAACATAATAAATGTGATAAATTTCCTTCAATTATAGAAAGACATAACTTCACATACTTATCTTCCTCAGTTAACTAGAGTTTTAATTAAATTCAATTCTACATCATAACGAAACAACACTTCAAATTTAAGTTCAGCTTCAGTATAGGCCAGCAAAACTGTATAAAATCTATGACATAAAAAAACAAAAAAAAATTAAGAAAGAGGAAACAAATACATATTCCGTCGTAATGTATGGAGCGGCAGTCAGTTTCAGCGAGGTTTGCGTGGTGGATTTCCGCTTGAAAAGGCGAGGTTGCGACAGTGATGAGCGGCGAAAGTCACGGCAGCTGAGAGTGGCGACTGAGTTGGCGTTGTGGTTTTAAGGGTTTAAAATTCTGAAATAGATTTTCAGATTTGAGAAGTGCTAATCTCACAATGACAAATACAAAGGGTATACAAAAACAATTGTTATCTTGATCTTCATGATATCTCTCTATTTCTTTCTCTTTTTCTGTTTTTTCTTTGTTTTTTTCTTTATTTTGTAGTCTTCTTTGTATAAGTTTTCGTAAGGATAACATTTTTCTTCAGATTTAGGAATTAGGGGAAAAAAGAAGACCCGGGTTTAGACCTGGGCATTTTGGACCAATCCCAAAAAACCAGTCTTATGAGGTTTGGTCCTAAACCCGGACCAGGCCCATGAAGGAGGGATCGAGAGCTCCTTGAAGACCCGGGCCTGGGATCAATCCCAGCCTGAGCCCAAACTCCTTTGCATTTTTTTTAAAAAGTCTCCTGAAAAATATCCAAAAACCTCTTGTAATTTTGGAATAGACAAAAATATTGAAGGTTAAATTGACATTTTACCAAATTTATGGGTTGCAAAAAATCTTCCAAGACCCCTAAAAATTACATAGACCCCCCTATATAATTTTATTTAATCCCTTAAATATAAAAAAAAAAAAAAAAAGTTAGGGGTGGAACAAAATTTTTCAAGCTCATGGGACCGGTCCATGCCCTGAAATTTCTTCCTAGGCCCATGAGTGGCTAGTCCCAAATGGGACCAGTCCCAATCAGGCCCAGACCCAGTTGGGATCAATCCTTGTCCAGGTCTACCCGGGTCTTCCCTAATCTTGGATTGGAAAACCATCTAGTCTAAAAAATTAACTTCTAAATTTCAATCACAATGTTTTTTTTTTTTAAATGATCATGAGTGTCCAAATCAACTTACGCGTACCTTAATGAATTTCTTGGATCTTGAAACTACTGATCAGGTAATAACTACTATGATTACCTCTATTAGCAACTGAGGAGGGACTCAAACTCAAGATTAATACACCCAAAAGTCTCTATCGAACCATTCAACCCTTTAGAAGTAGTTAATTTGAGATAATGTTTTCAATCATTTTTAATATATAAAATTGCAGATTTAAATTAAATTTAGAATCTAAAACAGAAAAATATTTCTAAATTGAAAAAGAAATTGAGTATGGGAACATCCACATTTATGATAGAAATCATATGTTACAAATTAAAGTGTTCTTATTTGAACCCACTTAAATTCTTTCAAAACCATTATGTATTAATAGAATTTCGATTTTCCAATTTATCTAAAACAATATCCTTTCTAAAAACACTTGTCTTTTTTATTCATTTTTGCTTATAAACAAATATTATATACAGAGTTAGAATTATTATTTTTGAAATGTTTTACTTATATATAAATTTTTAATTTAGTTGTATAACTTCGTCATAATATATAATTGAATTCTCTAAATTTTTTAATCACTTTCTGATAAAAATTCATCATACACTTCTTTTCTCTTTTTTTGACATTTTTCTTTCTCTATTTAAAAAAAAAAAAAAAAAATTATCTTTTATATCAACAAAATAAAATAAAATAAAATAATTATCTATATTTAGGTCCACCTTCCTAAAATTAAAGAGGTCTGAACAGAGATTGCTTTAGTTGGAACGACATACAAGAATATGCATTCATTAATTGCTGAAAAAATACCTTTAATTTACACATATTTATAACATAAAGAAACAATAAAAAATAAAAATAATAACATAAGGAAAAAATTGAAATGGAAATTGGATGAATCCTCCGTATATATAAATCAAAATCAATATTTGGGAAGAGAGCATTCCTTGGGAAGATTGTTTTGGAATCTCTGGTTATCCAGGCAGTAATCATAAATCATGTGGTATTTCCTCACCCATTTGAACCATCGTTTCTGATCACGATCAAGACTGCTGTATCTCTCTTTGTTCCACCAATTATCCGAGCTATCCGCCCTGCAAAACCTCGGATTTCCATTCCAAACGCAGGCGTCAGTCTTGTAGTTTCTGAACGAGGCAATGAAGGGTGCTTTCGACCAATCGGTTTTGTCCTTTCCGCCGCGTGTCGCCCAGCTGTCTCCATTCCATAAGCTGGCCTTTATGCTCATCGGTTGCCATCGTGGATATGCCACTCCTTTGTCTGCATGGTTTCTGTACGTTCTGATAGGTTTATTATCCACCATGAAACTGAGAAATTTAACACGCAAAAATTTGTAAGGATTAATCATTTGAAATAAAATATAAATGTTTGAAAATAACCTAAATGTTTAACAGTGGCTTACACAATTTGGTGAAGATTCCAGAGCACAGAGTATGTATGAAAGTCGGCGGTTGGATCAAACCACAGATAAATTCTCTCTTCACGGTCGTCAAACCCGTCGGCAAAAACATTAGTTTGAAGAATGTAAGGTTGGCCACTCACATTTCCCAGGAATTCAAAGTCCAATTCATCTCTGTTAGGTTGATCCGAGGCCAACTGCATTGAAATATATATCAATCAAACAACGAAATGGAGAAAGCAAAATGAAAAGCCAACGAGCCTTTGCTCAACTTTAATCCACACCTCAAAAACTTTAGAACATCCGCGCAAAATAATTTTCATATAGATATATAAACTAATAAGTTACTTCACTTACATAAAAGGCCAGAACTGTGCCAGCAGAATCTCCTGGTACTAGCTTGATTTCCATATCTATTTGTCCGAATAAGAACATTTGATTTGAATCAAAAGCAGACCCTGCCAGAAATAAAATAATTAATAATATATAATAGTATGAAAATTAGAGATTTTTCAATGTTCATGAGTGTGTAATAAATTATATGGCATACCAGATTCTTGGTCGAGCTTCAAGCTTCTTGATAAGCCATCTGCAGAAGTGTTTACATGGCTAGGGGACCAGGAGACGAAGAAGTCCTTGTTAAAATCTCCGGTAGAAACGACGGAAGCTGTTGAGATTTGAAGCGCATATTGATTGAGAAACCAGATGAACGCAATGAATTTGAAGTAATTGGTCAACATGGTTATTGTTAAGAGGAAAGGAGACAGGTTAAGAGGACGGGAAAGAGATAGCATATATATAGGTATTGCATGGGAAATTAAACCAAAGGATTTATAGATAGAAGCAAAGTTATTTGAAGCAAGAATATCTTTAGAAGTAAGCAAAGAAATGGTTCCAAAAATAATAATAAAAAATTTTATTATATTAATATTTAAAAAGGAGGGTAATTTAGTAATCTACATAACATACCCATCCATTTATCCTTTCAACCAAACATATTATTTACCAATTTATTCTAATCAATCAAACGCATTTTTTAAACATTTCTAGTAATCTTCAAGGTGATTTTTCTTTCCGTTAATATAACATACCCTTATAATAAAACAATATATGACCCAAACGCCCCCTAAGAGTTAACTACTTTTTCCCCACCCAAATAATGGATTAATGACACTTTTCCACCCACAGACTCTTAAAATATTATTTTACTACACAAATTTATATTCCGACAACAAACAAAGAGCAAACTTGGTCCAGACTGTTGAGCTTTTGAAGAGGGGAGGCTAATGAGTCTTTTGGTAGTGGAAGGTTGTATTTTGGTGGTTGAGATTGATCGAAATTTGACTTGGAAGGGATGGTTACGCAAACCCTAATCACTCGATTACTCACAATTGGTGGGGTCGACGAGAGTAAGGTTTGAGAGGTTTTGGTGAGTGATGATCAAGGAAGATAATAGTGGTGGTGTGGGATCGCAACGATGTTGGAATCAGAAACGAAATCCATATTTGGGTAATAAAATGGTATTTTAAAAGTTTGTGGGTATGAAAGTGTCATTAAACCATTATTTGGGTGGGAAAAAGTTGTTTACTCTTAACTTAATAATATAACACGACTTTGGTTAATTTTGTAATGTATGCTTAATTTATGAATGAATATTAAATTAATTGGACATATTTAAATAATATTCGAAGCTTTGTGAATACCCTTAGGCTTTCTATGTTTCTGTACAAGAGAGAAAATTTTTGTGTGTCTGGTTTGCAGAAAGTTAAGGAAAGTAGTGAGACAGTGAACGATATTGTGCTTTTCTTTTCAAGAAAACTTGGGTCTTTCAACTACCGCCCTTATCAAGCTTTTAAGTTTATTCTTTACCTCATCCTTTTTCTAAAGCTGTGTCAGCTAGCTAGGCTGGATTAAATTTCATGCATTGCAGATTCTGCCCATAATTTTACCTGATTGGTAAAGGAAACAGTAGTTGAGTTAGCCAAAGTTTCATTAAGGGTGAACAACAAGAGACATCATTTGAAAATATAAAAAGTTTGGATCTTTTCTCATAAACGGTTAAACTTTGCTTAAATTCAAATTAAAATATGAAGTGGGCTTAGTTATAAATTATGGGGCATTGATCATTCTTTCTTAATCTATTCTTTACATAAGAACATATATATTATTCAAAACTTAGGTGAATTTATATAATAAAAAATAACTAAATTCCTTTACGTGACCAAGATTAATTATGATATAAGAGTACATGCCAAAAATAAAAATTAAAAAAATATATATTATCAAACACATAAAAGTTGTTCATACCCAACAACCTCTTTCACGGTTTAACAATTAGAGGATTTGTTAGTTTATGGATTCAGTGGTGTACCTGTATTGTTTAATTTACTATTGTAAGCTTTTATTTAAGTGAATCTAACAATTATTTATTATTAGCACAATAATAATAATAAAGAATATGATCATAATGAAAGACTTATATATGAATGATGACTATTGACTAGGATTACATAAGGTGAGGGTTGAGTATCTTTGAAAGCAAGGTGAACCAAAGAAGATGAATTTTTACGTTTACATTAAGATTTGTGGTGAGTGGTTAATTATCTTTCACACTTAACATCATTACTCTTAATACTTGCTTTTATCTGCTACCCAAAAAACATTAATTAGCTCACTGTAGCTTTAATCCAACTTCAAATCATTACCCAAATGATTAATAATTTGTTTAGTGATCTATTTTGTTAGAAGTGTTATAAACTAAGAAAG